TTTCTTAACTTACATATGTAAAATAACAAAATATCACAAAATATACCTAATCACTATCAAAATTACTTTTTGTTTAATTTACCTGCATGCATAGCAACCGTTTTTTAATTCATCTAAATAGATCCCTCTCTCAACTTACAGGAAGAGATGGGAAGGCAAGGAACAAAATTCTATGTTCTATACATGAACAGAATATTAGATAATGCTGGTGAGATGAAGTGGTCATGCAAATCCCTACATATAATAACTATTAAAAAAATAAATTTAATAAAATATTTAAAGAAACTGCAAGATATCCAAAAGCAGAGAGAAGCCAGAGGAAAATTGGCTGGGCGCAGTGGCTCACGCCTGTAATCCCAGCACTTTGGGAGACCGAGGCGGGTGGATCACGAGGTCAGGAGATCGAGACCATCCTGGTTAACACAGTGAAACTCTGTCTCTACTAAAAAAAATACAAAACATTAGCCAGGCGTGGTGGCGGTCTCCTGTAGTCCCAGCTACTCGGGAGGCTGAGGCAGGAGAATGGCGTGAGCCCGGGAGGCGGAGTTTGCAGTGAGCCAGGATTGTGCCACTGCACTCCAGCCTGTGCAACAGAGTGAGACTCCATCTCAGAAAAAAACAAAAAAGAAGCTAGAGGAAAATTTACTTTCAGAAAACTGCAACCAAAATCGGTAGAACCTGTGAGTTTACAGCTTACCAGCCACAGGATTAATTCCACCTGCAAGGCTACAAAAAAAAACATTGGTGGGAAAAATCGCAGCCTTACCAGCTAAATGTGTCAAATATCAGAATTCAGGATGGGAAAAGAAGCAGAAATTTAATGAGGAAGCCCTAGCAGCATGAGAACCACAGAATTAGTGAGACCCAAATTCAGAGCATAAACTTCCCAAATCTGGCTTATAGCTAGTCTACATATGAGTGGAGCAGACCCCAAGGGATCCGGCAAAAAAGAAGTCAGATCCCAGAGAGATACCCACTCTTGAAAGATGGAACTACACAGGATTAGACCTCTGTGTCCTCACCCAAATCTCATCTCGAATTGTGGTCCCCACATGTTAAGGGAGAGACCTGTAATACCCACATGTCAAAGGAGGGAGGTGATTGCAGTTTAAATCCAGGCAAGTTCAATGCCTGCTAAAACAAAAATCTCAAAATCCTCAGGAAAAAAAAAAAAATCAGTTGCTGCAATGACTAGTTTTCAACCAAAAATTACTAAATATGCAAAGAAACAGGAAAGTGTGACCCTTACTCAGGAAAAAAAATAATGGTGGTCAATAGAACTGACTTTACAAAGGTGATTCAGATTCATCTGCCATCTATAATTCTCTGCTAAGTCGATTGAAAAATTAAGGGAAGCTGTATTAGTCTGTTTTGTGCTGCTATAAAAGAATACCTGAGGCTGGGTAATTTGTAAAGAAGGGAGGTTTATTTGGTTCCTGGTTGTGCAGGCTGTACTAGAAGCATGGCACCAGCATCTGCTTCTGGTGGGGCCTCAGGAAGCTTCCATTCATGGTGGAAGGCAAAGGAGAGCAGCCGTGTCACATGGAGAGAGAGAGAGCAAGAGAGGGATGGGAGGTGCCATGCTTTTTTAAACAATCTGCTCTAGTATGAACTAATACAGCTAGACTCACTCGGTATCACAGGGAAGGTGCCAAGTCATTCATGAGAGATCTGTCCCCATGACCCAGACACCTCTCAGTAGGCCCCATCTCCATCTCCAACAATGGGGGTCACATTTTAACCTGAGATTTGGAGGGGACAAATATCCAACCTGTATCAGAAGTATTTTGGCCTGAAGGAAAACGACACTGGATAGCAACTGTTTAAAAGAGCATGTCTCCTCCCCACTCTTGCTCCCTTGCAGATATGAATGACACCACCAATCACCGTAACCTGACAGTTCTAAACATTACACCCAACAACAGCAGAATATACTCTTTTAAGTCCCCACAGAATGTTCCCAAAGATAGACCACACACTAGGTCATAAAACAACTCTCATTTTCAGATTATTAAAATATAGCAGACTATATTCTCTTACTGCAGCAGAATTAAATTAGAAATCAACAAAAAATAAAACATCAGAGATAGCCCCCAAATATCTGGAAATTAAAAACTCACTTTTAAAGAACCCTTAGAAATCACAAAGTATTTTAGAAAATATTTTCAACTGAAAAATAGTGAAAATTGATCAATTAGACTTCATCAACATTTAAAACTTTTGCTCTTTGAAAACCACTGTCATCAAAATGAAAATGTTTTCAAAACATATATCTGATAAAAAGCTTTTATCTAAAATATTTAAAGAGTTTTTGAAGCTCAATAATTTAAAAAACAATTAAAAATGGGCAAAAATATTTGAACAGACTCTTCATCAAACAAGTTACATGACCATCAAATAAGCACATGTTCAATATCATCCATCATTAGTGAAATAGTGAAATGTGAATTAAAACCAAAATCAGCCACCACTTCACACCTTATGGACTGGCTAAAATGAAAAAGATTGACAATACCAAGTACTAGCAAGGATGTGGTGCAACTATAACTCTCAGACATTGCTGCTGGTAATATATATATTGATTGCATCCCTCATTCTGTCTCCCTAAAAATGTTAATCCATAAAAAGGTAGTAAAAAATGTTTAAAGTTGGCAATGAACACCTGGAAAACACATTTGCTTTATTTATTTTATTTTCTACAGGTTTCACACTTTTTTTTTTTTTTTTTTTTTTTTGAGACAGGGTCTCACTCTTTTACCCACGATGGAGTGCAGTGGCATGACCTCGGCTCAAGTGCTTTCCACCTCAGCCTCCTGAGTAGCTGGGACCACAGGCGTGCAACACCATGCCCAGTTGTTTTTGTACTTTTAGTAGAGCTGAGGTTTCACCATGTTGCCCAGGCTGATCTCGAACTCCTGAGCTCGAGCAATCTGCCCACCTTGGCCTCCCAAAGTGCTGGGATTACAGATGCGAGCCACAACACACGTTCGACACTTTTTAAATCCACTAAATTGCAGAGTAACTAACAGCCATTGCCACTTCAAAAACCAGTTCATTGATGGAAATAATGTGACCTCACAAGCAGCTTCAGGGAACTTTTCACTGAATTTGTGGGATCCATCAGAAATGAAAAGGCAGAATTCAAGCACCCAGTCTGACCTGCCTCAGCTCAGCATCCTTAGGTCCTCCCTCTCCTCCAAGGCTCTGAATCTGCCTGGGGAAGAGCATGGCGGTTGCAGACAACCCCTGCATCCCTCCCCAGAATCAGGACCCTTGGTATCACTGCCTCCAGGAATAGCAGCAGGACCAGGCAAGACCAAGGTCAAGCTCTTTCTGCCACCTACCTGTGGTTTCACACATCAAGCTGGAATCTGTTAACAGTTTTTGTTATTATTAGTAGGATGTCTACACCACAAATGATTTCGTTACAGATTCAAAAACAGCCATTTGGTAGAAAATGACCACTGATGAGTCTCCCAGGAAAGAGGATTTACAAAAAGCTTCCTTTTCATTTTAATTTTTCTCTAGATCCCTTGGTCTATCTTAAATGGCGAAAGAACATGACCATTCAAAAAAGTGAAAGGGCATCAAAATCTGAGGGCAAAGGCTGTCGTGAGGAAAGGAGATGAAAGCCACAGGGGCTAAAGCTACGACTGACTTTGCAAATAATTAACCAAGAAATGAAGAAGTGGTCTGGATGAGAAACTGCTGTATCTCACTGAGGAAAAAACAAAAAAGTGAGAAACACAAATTTATCGCATCCTGGACAGGTCAAGGACACACACAATGTGAACATGGCTCAGAACCAAATTCAGCATCTTTAGCGCCAAAGAAAAACATGTAACTCATAGTACATCCATGGCAGTTTACTGAGTAGATTGATTTTTGTTAAAATTGAGAACTTTCTGACAACCAAATGATGGGGCTGGAATTAGTTAGGTGAGAGATGTTGACAGCCTTTAAAAATTAAATAAAGAGGCCAGGCATGGTGGTTCATGCCTGTAATCCCAGCACTTTGGGAGGCTCACTTGAGCCCAAGAATTTGAGGCAGCAGTGAGTTATGATCACGACCCTGCACTCCATCCTGGATGACAAAGAGATCCCATTTCAAAAAAAAAAAAAGAGAGAGAGAGAGAAGAAAAGAAAGAATGAAAAAAAGAAAGCAACTTTAAAGAAGAAAACTGGTGGCCAGGCGCAGTGGCACACACCTGCAATCCCAGCACTTTGGGAGGCTGCAGCGGGCAGATGGCTTAAACTCAGGAGCTCGAGACCAGCCTGGGCAACATGGCAAAACCCCATCTCTACAAAAAATACAAAAATTAGCCAGATGTGGCTAGAGTCCCAACTACCCAGGAGGCTGAGGTGGCAGGATCACCTAAGGTAGATCACCAACTACCAGGGAAGTTGAGGCTGCAGTGAGCCATGATTGTGCCACTGTACTCCAGCCTGAGCGACATCAAGCAAGACCCTGCCTCAAAAAATTAAAAAAAAAAAAAAAAAAAAGACGAGACAAATCTCTTCAGCAAAATGGTACTAGTCCCACACTTATCACTGGTGACTGCCTTCGAGTCAGAGATTTTCACCCTAACTTTGTTATCATGGCCGGACTCCCTCTCTTCTGAGGTAATGTCTATAAATCTTGGCATCCAAGGTGCTTTTGCTCCACATGTCAGCTATTAGCACTGGTATTTTTCCTGACAACTAACTAGTAACACTGAAGGAAAGAAATGAATTTTATACCATTAACTACAATTAGGTGTTTTTTAGAGGGGACATGGCACTGCCTGGAAATTAAAGGGACATGCTTTTGACCATGTTTGCCACTGAGATGAGAAATGTGGTGGAAATGGAATCCATACATGGGGTTCATTTACACCCAACTTAATCCACGAGAAAAGATTCTCTCCACGTAGCTGGTGCTGAGGGAACCCTCCAGACCAGGCAGACCCCTAGAGAGCCCCCCTCAGTCCAGCCTGAAGTGGTGGCCATGCATCCCTCACCTTTCATCTTGGTCGTGTAAAACCCAACAGCCGCTCCACGTCTCCACAGGATTTTAGTTTGTTCCTTCACAGAGTGAGGTAGAAAAAACATGTCATCATCATCCAAATTTCTCTCCAGTCTTCCAAAAATAATGACGTTTAGAATGAAAAGCACAATCCTTTCCCCAAATGACTGAACCTTTGGAAAAAAAAAAAAAGAAAGAAAAGAGCAACAATAATCACGTGAGACAAGAGAGGAAAATCATATGCAATAAATTCTGTGCTTGGACGTGACCCACACATTGGGGCCAGGTGTGAGCTCCTCCATCAAAGATTCATTTTGTGCTCAAAGATCCAAAACGTGAATCATGGCATCTCACAGAGGCTTCCACACCACTGACCTTTCGCACCATGCGGCCTCCAGGAGCAGAGAACAACGCCAGGGGCGGCCCCTGGGTCCTCAAGACCACGGACCAGGAATGTGAGATGACAAAACACAATCCATCACATGGTAACAAAACAGGAATTTAACACTGGGGGACTGGGCAACCCATTTCAACTGACTCGCTGGATGTGTCCTGAAATACACCCAATCTGCCATTTTCATGACAGCAGGCCCCAGAATTCTGGCCGTCAGAAGGAGGGTAAATAATGTGGGAGATCAATTGCTACACCAAAAGCAAGTGAGTTTCAACAGCTTGTGACCGATTTGGAGCACACACTGGCGTCCTAATCCCAGAGAATTACAGGGACTCGGGGCACACCCCTTCTAAGGCTGTAAAATTGAACCATCTCTTGCCTGTAGCAAAGTTATCACAAGTGAGGAAATTGTATTGTGGTCAAAGTCAGGCCCACACAGTTAGAAGCTTTCCCCTTCGCAAGTCAAAATGACTTCACACTCCTGCCTATTAAAATGCTGTGCATTTGTGTAGCCCACGGATGGCAAATACGTGGTAGAAACCAAGGTCTCCCACCCCTGGATTCAGAGCAGACCTATCTGTCCAGCTAAGCGTGGACACGGTCTCAGAAGCCTCCTTAACGCAGCCCTTCAGACAGTCACGAGCAACTGCTAAAATGTGGCACGAGGTGAAACCAATCAGCTATTTACGAAGTGACAATGCTGTTGTATTGGAATTTACTCTGCAATACTGCTAGGTGACAGCCTTTGTGTGTGTGTATTTGTCACTTCATCCTATGCATTACCTCTAGATCAACAAGGCCACTAGCTGGTCCATGACATCCACCCACATGCTCCCATTTGATTCTCACCACCTGGCTGGAGAGGTCTTGGTTCATAGGTGGGGAAATTGAGGCTCAAAGAGGGTGATTACATTTATTGATTTCCCTGCCTCATTTCAAAGAGGACTTGAGACAGCTGGACAAGGGATCTGTCAGAGGCAGGCACAAAACAACAGACTGGGGCTTTCCAGTCCAGCCAGCGGTTTCCTTCTTCATCTTCATCCATTAGAAATGAGATTTGGGGAAAGGGGATAATACAAATGTTAATACTTCATTTTATATTTAATACTTGACCCTTGGATTATCATCCTCATCGTTTGTGGTTTGTGGGTTGTTACCCTGGATTTGCTGGGAGATCTTCAGCAATTCACAACCTCTTTGAGTCTTGGTTTCCCCCTCCAGTCAAGGGATAAGATCCTTCATGTGGTCTCTAAAATACATGCATGCTTTCAAATGCTCTGGTAATAAAAATAAGGCAGCTTGCAGCAAATGGCAAGAAGTGTTCAGTGCCAATAAACTTATGAATTGGCCAGAATGTAAAATATTTCACCTTCATCTGGAGTTAAATCTTAAATGAGAAAAAGATTAGTGAAAACCACACTAGCTTGGCTTTGAGAAGCCATCACATTTTGTATCTCAGATAGCGGCAGCCAAATCAAGTTCAGACATTAAGAATAACTAGCTAGTCACAAAACCAGATTGGTGTCGTGGGGGAGGTTTTATTTTTCAACTTATAAAACCAAAAAGTTCAGAAGAAAGCCAGAAGACAAAAGCAGATTGCATCTGGCAGAAGGGAAATATCCAATCAAAAACTGGCAGGAGAAAAAGGAGGAGAAAGAAAATGTACTTAATTTGTCCAATTTCATTACGGGGGAGGAAAACGTGTGACATGTGATTTTGACTCAGAAATGTTTCTGAAAACACAAAACTAAGTTCCAGTTCACATCCCTCATTAGGACCACTAATTAAGTTAACAGGAAAAACATTAAGAAATCTTGTGGGGGTTTTTTTGGTAATTTGTGAAGAAGAGCTGGCTAGGAAACAAAATGTAATTAAAAGAAAAAGAAAAAAAGTCAAGACCTAAAGTTCTACAAACAGAGAGAGGAAATATTCCCTTGTACAGCTGGGGTAGGATAGATCTTTACAACATGGTTCATTAAGTGGAAATAACACCCAAGTTTCTTTTTGTTCATAATATAGGCCACATTTTCAGAAAATGTGGGGGTTTTCGCATTTAAACTTAGAAGAAGAGATGACAAATGAAGGAAGTAACAACTCTTGTTCTGAAAAAATTATTTAAGGAGCCGTTCACATTCTTCATAGCATTCAGAACAGTCAATCATTAAGTGGCACCTGGCCCACCTGCAGCACCAGAGCTGGGACAGCAACGCAAACCAAGATGCCAAGCACCACACTGGGTACATCATGCTCACTTGCTGAATCTCAGGCCATCTCTAATGTGCTGGAAGAAAAACCTTTTCAAAATAATATCTACCGAGTCAACTAAAACGAGACCTAAAAAAGACAACTCATAGAATGAGAAAAAAATAACTGCAAATCATATATGTAATAAGGATTATGCATATGAAAAACTCTGCATATGAAACTCTGCATATGAAAAACTCTCACAACCCAATAGTAAAAAGTCAAATAGCCCAATTAAAAAGTGGGCCAAGGATCTTCATAAACATTTTCCCAAAGAGGATCTATAGATGGCCAATCAGCACATGAAAAGATGCTCACCATCCTTAGCTATCATGGAAATGCAAATTAAAACCACAGTGAGATTCTACTTCACACCTAATAGGATGGAGAACATTAAAAAGACAATAACAAGTGCTGGTGAGGATATGGAGTGACTGAAACCCTCCGACACTGCTCTTGAGAGTACAGAATGATGCGGCTGCTGGGGAAGGTAGTTGGACAATTCCTCAATATATGAAACATAGAGTTACCACATGACCAACAATTCCACTCCTAGATATATACTCAAGAGAACTGAAAATATGTATCCTCAAAAAAACTTACATACAAATGCTTATAGAAGTATTATTAATCATAGTCAAAAAGTGGATACGATTCAAATGTCCATCAACTGAAAAACGGATAAATGAAATGTGGTATATCCATACAATGGACTATTATTCACCCCAAAAAAAAGAATGAAGTACTGATGCATGCTACAGTGGATGAACTCTGAAAAGATTTTGTCAAGTTAAAGAGGCTGTTTACACAACACCACCTGTCATATGATTCCATTTATAGGAAATATCTAGAATAGGCAAATCCATAAAGACAGAAAGCAGATTAGTGGTTTCCAGGAACTGGGAAAAGACAGGAATGAGGAGTGATGCTAATGGGTAGAAAGCGTCTTTTTAAAATGATGAAAATGTTCTGGAATTAGTGGTGATTGATATACAATGTTGTGAACATAGTAAAACTCCCTGCATTGTGCACTTTAAAAGAATGAAGCTCATGATGTGTGAATTTATCTTAATGAAGCTCTTGTTTAGAAAAAAATCAAGAACTAATTTTTTTAATTGCTCAGCAGAAAAAATAAAATAAAATAAAATAAAACCTGGATTAACAACTTGGGAATATTACCTGAGACCTCTTATAGGGATTATCTAATTTCAGAACCTTCGAGGTATTTGTTGTGTAGATGAAGACATCGAGGCTGAGTCACACTGCCAGTAAGTGAGGTAGCTGGGTACAAACTTCCATCTCCTTGACATCAGGCTGGAGATCTTTGAAGTGTTGTGCCTGAGACTATTTCCCCTCTCTGTCTGTAGAACTTTAGGTCTTGACTTTTTTCTTTATCTTTTAATTGTATTTTGTTTCTTAGCCATTCTCCATACTGAACCTGAAAGAAAACTGATATTTCATTCATTATTTACAGGGCTCTATGAAGGCAACTGAATGGCATGCCAGACAACTGTAAACAAGATCACACATTTCAAGACTGCAGGGAAGCATCATCCTTCTTCCCACCTATGGAATTAAGATAAATATACCAGTCAAATGAAAATGAGTGAATGTGAGGCACACAGTCCAACTCTCAGCTGGGTACTGGCTTCCTCCTTAGCCTTGGCCCCAGCCAAAGTTCAGCCAAGAGGACACCACCTGGACCTCTGAGAAGCTCCTCTGGCTCCTGCCTTCACACCTGCCATCGCAGGTCTCTGCTTTACAACTGCTCAACAGAGGCACAGCTCTTCAAAGATCACCAGGTCTGATGTCAAGGAGACAGATGTTTGTACCCAACTAAATCACTTACTGGCTGTGTGACTCAGTTTCAATGTGTTCATCTGCAAAACAAATACCTTGAACGTTCTGACATTAGATAAGCTCTATAGAGGCTCAGGTAGCATACAGGATAATATCTGCTATAATTCTAACTTATGCTAAGTGCCAATAAACATTACCTGAATGTACTAAGCAGAAGTTTCCCATACAACAGAGAGATGGTGTATATTAAAGTTTTAAAACTTAGACATGAGGGGCCACTCAGGAAAGTAAAATAGACTTATCAGTAGCCAGATATCTGTTATACATAGCACTGAGTGCTGTTTTCCTTGCTAGCAGGGTGTTATGGATTGAATTATCACCCCCAAAAAGCTGTTGACATCCTAACTCCCAGTTGTGTGAATGTGACCTTATTTGGAAATAGAGTCTGCTGATCAATCAACATGAGGGGATTCAGTTGGTCTCTAATCCAATATGACTCGTGTCCTTATAAAAAAGGAGGATTTTGACAGAGACAGACACACACATAAAGAACAATGTGGAAATACAAGGAGAAGGTCATCTAAAAGCCAAGAAACCCCTGAGGTTACTAGAAGCTAGGAGGGAAGCCAGGAACAGATTCTCATTTACAGCCCTCAAAAGAAAACAACCCTGTCGATTGCTTGATTTCAGACTTTCCAGCCTCCAGAACTGTGAGACAATACATTTCTGTTTTGTGGTACTCTGTGGTACTAGGAAATGAAGACATGGCTAGACTGCTTTAAATTATCAAATTATCAAGTAAGCACTGTGACTTTTAAAACCTCTTTTACAATGTTCATTTAAAATTGCATCAACTCACCTTCATCAACCCTTCTCTTGCAGGATCAGAGGTTCCTAGTGCATCTTCCGTGGACCACAATGATCCCTTTATGTAAACAGCCACAACTGGAGAGAAAGCCAAGAGAGGATGATGTGCATACAGCAAACTGGCCAACAGAGGGGCAGCTTCACAGCACAGAGCCACTGACAAGGTGCAAAGGAAGATGATTTGTGGGGAAAGCAGGTGATATTTTTAGAGCTGAATTTACTGAACAGGAAAGATTGACCACTCTCACATGAAGCGGGCTTCACAGATGTTTCAGAGGTGGCCTGTTGTTGACACAAAACAGGATATATCCCAATGTTTGGGGACACAGCAGGATACACACCAATATTGACAAATCCAATGAGTAAGAATTACCTTTTTTTGAGTCAGATTATCGCTCTGTCACCCACGCTAAAGTGCAATGGCGCAATCTTGGCTCACTGTGAGCTCCACCTCCCAGGTTCAAGTGGTTCTCCTGCTTCAGCCTCCCAAGTAGCTGGGACTACAGGTGTGAGCCACCATGCCTTACTAATCATTGTGTTTTGTAGAAACAGGGTTTCGCCATGTTGGCCAGGCTGGTCTCAAACTCCTGACCTCAAGTAATCCGCCTGCCTTGGCCTCCCAAAGTGCTGGGATTACAGGCATGAGATTTGTGGGTACATAGTAAATGTATATATTTATAGGATATCTGAGATGTTTTGATACAGGCATGCAATGCATATTAATGGAGTATCCAGCAGAGCACTTACATCTGTAATCCCAGCACTCTGGAAGGCAGAGGTGGGCGGATCGCTTGAACCCAGGAGTTCAAAACCAGCTTGGGCAACATGGTGAAACCCCATCTCTGCGAAAAATACGAAATAATTAGCTGGGTGTGGTGGCACATGCCTGTCCTCCCAAATACTTGAGAGGCTGAGGCTGGAGGATCACTTGAGTCCTAGAGGTCAAGGCTGCAGTGAGTCATGGGTGCACCACTGCACTCCAGCCTGGACAACAGAGTGAGACTCTGTCTTAAAAAAAAAAGGAAAGACAAAAAATGATGTATCTGTCCCCTCAAGCATTACATCCTTTGTGTCACAAACAATCTGATTCTACTCTTTTAGTTATTTTAAAATGTACAAGAATCACATTTTAAGCACCAAAGTTACTTTGGTTGTTTTCTAGCATCTTTTTTATACCCCTTTGATCATCATTTTTATATCTGCCTCTCAAGGCCAGTATTTGAGCCTGAGGGTTCCAGAATCCACAGAATTATAAAAGAGGCCTCTTCCCACTCAAATCTTTTTAGATGGAGATTTGGAGGAAAATGTGAACACGGAGTAGAAAACAAAAGCAATTGAACATTTCACATAAGCCTCAAGATTTTAAAACAAATGTTGTGGACCACTCGGGGTCAGCTGCCACAGCCTTTCTCCCTGTTCCTCTCTGCTACTGAAGGAACTTTAGTAGAAAACTCTGTGAAGACCAAGCTACAGTGGTGTGATGGTTAATAATGAGTGTCAACTTGATTGGATTGAGGGATACAGAGTATTAATCCCAGGTGTGTCTATGTGGGTGTTGCCAGAAGAGTTTAACATTTGAGTCAGTGTGCTGGGGAAGGCAGATCCACCCTTAATCTGGTGGGCACAATCTAATCAGCTTCCAGCAAATATAAAGCAGGCAGAAAAACGTGAAAAGGAGAGATGGACCTAGCCTCCCCACCTACGTCTTTCTCCCATGCTGGATGCTTCCTGCCCTCGAACATCGGACTCCAAGTTCTTCAGCTTTGGGACTCAGACTGCTTCTCCTTGCTCCTCAGCTTGCAGACAGCCTATTGTGGGACCTTGTGATTATGTAAGTTAATACTTAATAAACTCCCCTTTATACATATATATAATACTTAATAAATTCCCCTTCACGTATGTATATAGAATACTTAATAAACTCATATATATATACACACACACACATATATCTCCTATATGTATCCTGTTAATTCTGTCCCTCTAAGAGAACCCTGACTAATACAAGTGGCATTAGCCAGGTATTAAACATTAACTCTGCATAGCCAGCCCCTCCTCCCTAGAGACCAACAGCATCGAACTCACCTTGTCAGTTTCATATGGGTGAATTATATCATCTCTGACAATGGTTCCAAAATTGACAGAGTCAGCTGGGAGCAAAGAGCCAATTAAATGCTTGACATCTGCCTTCATGTATTCGACTTAATTCACTTCCAAAATGGCACCTACTAGAACTTCCAGGAGCTTTATAAGCTACAAGGATTATTTTCCTGTTTAACAAGGTGAATCAATAAAAGCTGTTGAAGTTACTAATATGCTGTATTGCTGTAATACAGATGTTCAATTTGCTAATACAATTTCAAACAAGAAATGTGTTATGATTCAGTGTTTATGTGGTGCCTTGCAAGTTTCACGGTGCACTGCAGACCATTAATTAGTCACACAAGTTGTCACAAATAAAACTGAACTGTTGTTGTTTTTTTTCAAAACTCATCTTAAACTGCTAAGTATACATAGCAATGAAACTGAAGTCCAATCACATGTAACGGTTAAAAACAAACTGCCCTCAAAATCAACTCTTGAAAAACAGAATCAGCCTTCTGGAGAGCAGGAGCTTTTGATCAATGAAGTATAATACCTTGTCCAGAGAACACAGGAGGGAGACATGGTGGCACAGCCCTTGGAGAGAGGCAGTCCCCAGCTCAGCAAGGACAAATGACAGCTTCTGGGGGGCTGACAGGTGCCACAGAGCCAGCCTCAGGGCATCACTGCTGAGACGCTGGAGCCAGCAACCTCCAAGGGTTAGAAAATGGAAGTCACAATATCCTTGTTTTTAAAAAGGAAAAGTATGGTCCTGAGCAATCATTTCCACCACCTAAGGACTGAGAAGAGCCTGGACACCTGCAGAGAGAGATGCACCATGCCGAGAGCCATCCGGAGGGCATTGTGAAGAACCAGCCTCACCAAGCCAATTCAATTTCCCTGTCTCCGAGTAGCAGGTGACATGGACCACAAGGAAGGTGTCAGTAATGGATTTTATTCTATGACACTCCAAGGTCTCCCAAAGAAGAGAGACCTTGGGAGGTCCCTAAGGCTAATTCCTAGAGGCCTGGATTCACCTGAGGCTAAGCATGATTCACTGAATTCAACTCTCCATGGCTGAGTTCCCCACTGTGTGACTGATGCTGTCCTGGGACCCGGGAGCTGATGATTAAGCCTCCATCCTTACCTCTTGGAGTTGAGAGCCCACTGAGAACGAGAGAGCTAAATAAGCTACTCCCGTACAGGGCAGGGAATCATCGGTGCTGGAATCAAGTTTCACAAGGACCCAGAGAAGGAGGTCAACTCTGCAGAGGGGAATTGGGAAAGCATCCCCAGAAACTCCACCAGCTCTGCATCACTGGGTGAGGTTTCAACAGACAGAGACGGTGGGGAAGGCTGATGCAGGCAACCCGGGAGTGGAGACACAGAGTCCTGTATGTCCTGGGTTATGTTCAGGGCATCCCAAGCGGAAGGGGTAGCTGGGCAAGGTCTAAATATGGAAGAGACTGGGCTGCAAACACCATCTCAGCAAAACATTGGCTTCGTTCACTCGGAAGTCACCAGCTGATATCAGCGCCAATGGGGAGTAAGATGACTCAAGGCATTTTAGAAACGGCTCTACATACTGTCCATGGTAAAGGAAAAGGAAAAGGAATTGGAACCTCAGAGCCAGACAGGGCTCAAATTCTGGCGTCCCCAGTTACTAGTTGCATGACCTAAACCCATCCCCTCCCCAGCTTTGATTCACCCAGTCAAATGGAGATCACATCCTCTTCTATTGTTATAAAGCAAGGTAGGTGAGAGAGTTCACCTCGCCAAACTGCTTTTCCTTAGGTGTTTGAAGCATTCCAGTAATTTCTAGAAAGTTCCTCCATCTGCTTCCAACATTGCTCTGGGATTACAATGAAGTATGAAAAGGCTGTGTAATATTTTCATTGTCAACAAGACAATCGAAAGTGTTCTGTAACACTCCATTTCTCCCTGGGTGATCTCCATCCAAATCATCTTTCTGCTCCGGTTTACACAGAAATGTCTGTCTTTCACAGCTTGAGATCTGCCCATCCAGTGAGTATTTACTTTTCACATCACATTTCCTCATGACCATCCCCTTTTCTATCAGGAGTTAAGCTGACCACAGCATTCCTCGCTCTGCCCTCCCAACGTAATGGGCACGCATCAGCGCCGGATTCAGACACATAACAGGACCTCTGACAAGATTTTTAAAACTTTATGTCTTGCTTAAGACTTCTTAAAGAAGCCGAACCTTTTTAATCTGATTTTTTTAAATCTATAAGTAAGCAAAGCAATCCTTTTGAAAAAGTTAGCATGACTTTTTCACAGTACAGGTCAGAGAGACCTGGTTGTCACCGGTCACCCTGGATGGATGGGCTGTGGCAACTAAGAGTGAGTGGTGCCTTCAGAAGGATTTTTGAGGCCGCAGACAAATTCATCAAGGAGGAGTCTACTTAAGCAATTAAACTATACCCTGGCTTAAGAAACTTACAATTTAAAGGAAGACACAGAATCGAGTCAAATCAGACCCAGGCTGTGTGGTGTGATGTAGTAGCAATGTCCAGCAGGGGACAGTGGAGCGCAAAGTTGAGCTTGAGGTCCCCCTCCAACTGCCTCAGCACAGAGATCAGCAGGAGGTACCAAAGCGGTGCACAGACCCTCTGGAGGTCACAAGTCTGTGGCACGTGTTGCTTATCCAACCCACATATAGAGCAGCTATAATGTGCAAAAGACATATTACATCCAATCAAGGAATCAAACTAGACCCTGGCTTAAGAAACTTACAGTTTAGAGGAAGACACAGAATAGAGTCAGATTAGACCCAGGCTATGTGTTGTGGGAGGGCCAGAAGGGAGAAGAAGGTCGTTTGGAATGGGAGATGAGAGAGTATCCAAGGGCAACTGACCTAACCAGGTGGGAAGAATGAGTCAGGCCAAAGTAAGGGGAGAAGGCCATGCCAGGTGAGGGAGGTGACAGAGATGTAGAGATGTGACAGGCAAGGACAGGAACTGCAGCATGCCAGAGCCACCAGCATTCAGAGTGGTGAGGAGGCAGGAGGAGGCCCATCAGGAAGGCTGTGAGAGCCAAACTCTGGACAGCTACTATGCTTCAGAAAAGGATAGGAACATGATCCAGTTACCACTTTAAAATAATGGCATTGGCCGCGCGCGGTGGCTCACGCCTGTAATCCCAGCACTTTGGGAGGCCGAGGCAGGCGGATCACGAGGTCAGGAGATTGAGACCACCCTGGCTAACACGTCTCTACTAAAAATACAAAAAAATTAGCCGGGCGTGCTGGCGGGCGCCTGTAGTCCCAGCTACTCGGAAGGCTGAGGCAGGAGAATGGCGTGAACCCGGGAGGCGGAGCTTGCAGTGAGCCAAGATCGCGCCACTGCGCTCCAGCCTGGGCGACAGAGCGAGACTCCGTTCAAAAAAAAAAAAAATAAAATAGAATAATAGCATTGACCACGACAGCACAACCAAGCACTCATCAAGCCCTTGGCGCAATGCCAAGGGCACATGTAGTATCGCATTTTTTTGCCTGTATTCTTTTTAATTGACACATTATAATTGCACATATTTATGGGGTACATTTGATATTTTGATACATGTACACAACATGTAATGATCAAATCATTACATGCCACCTCGAAGATTTATTCCTTCTTTGTGCTGCAGACATTCAAAATCCACTCTTCTAGCTACTTGAAAACAGAATAAATTGTTGCTAACTGGAGTCACCCCGCAGTGCCATGGAACCCTAGAATGTATTTTTCCTATCGACCTGTGCTTTGCATCCATTAGCTAGGCCCTCCCTCTCATCCCCCAACAGACTTCCCTGCATCTGGTAACCACTATTCTGCTCTCTACTTGTATGAGCTCAACTACTTTAGCTTCTACAGATGAGTGAGAACATGTGGTACTTATCTTTCTGTTTTGGCTTTTTTTCGTATTTCGACATAATGTCCTCCAAGCTCATCCATGTTGCTGCAAATTACAGAATTTTGTTCTTTTTTATGTCTAAATAGTATTCCTTTGCATATACGTTGTCTTTATCCATTCATCTGCTGATAGACACTTAAGTTGATTCCATACCTTGGCCATTGTGAATAATGCTACAGTAAACACCAGAGTGCAGATATTTCTTCAACATACTGATTTTATTTCCTTTGGATATATACCCAGAAGTGGGATTGCTGGACCATATAGTAGTTCTATTTTTAGAATTTTGAGGAGCCCCCATACTGTTCTCCATAATGGCTGTACTATTTACATTCTCACCAACAGAGTACACACATTCCCCTTTCTCCACAACCTCACAGCATCTATTATTTTTTGTATTTTTCATAATAACCGTTCTAACTGGGGTGAGGTGATAGCTTACTGCGGCTTTGATTTGCATTTTACTGATAATTTGTTGTGTTGAGCATTTTTTCATATATCTATTGGCCATTTGTGTGTCTTCTTTTGAGAGATTTGTATTCAGTTCATTTGCCCTGTTTTTAATCAGATTATTTGTTTCTTTGCTGTTGAATTGAGTCCCTTGTATATTCTGGATGTTAATCTCTTGTTGGATGAATAGTTTTCAAATATTTTATTTGATTCTGCAAGTTGTCTCTTCATTCTATTGTTTATTTTTCTGTGCAGAAGATTTTTAGTTCAGTATAATCTCACTTGTCCTATTTTGATTTTGTTTCCTGTGCTTTTGAGATCTGCTCCATAAAATATCTGCTCAGATCAATGTCCTGAAGCATTTCCTCTTCGCTGTCTTCTACTATTAATAGTTTCATAGTTTCAGGTCTTACAGTTAAGTCTTTCGTCTATTTTGAGTTGAATTTTGTATATGGTGACAAATTTTGGTATGTTGTGTTTCTATTTTGATTTGTTTCAATAAACTTTTAAAACTAGGTAGGTTCCTAGTTTCATTCTTCTGCATATAAATATCCAGTTGTCTGAGCACCATTTACTAAAGAGACTGTCCTTTCCCCCAATAAATGTTCTTGGTACATTTTTCAAAGATCAACTGTCTGTAAGTACATCGGTTTATTTCTGGGTTCTCTATTCTGTTCCATTGGTCTACATGTCTGCTTTTATGCCAGTACCGTGTTGTTTAGGTTACTACACCTTTGTAGAATATA